GACATTCCATCAAGTCGCCACGAACGGCCGTTCCAGTACTTGAGTTGTACTACCAGAGAACGAAAATCCACAAGTCGCCAGCTGTGAACCCCGCGCCCTCAATTCGACTCTCAACCCCAAAGCCTAGGCTCTCAATCCTTCACCCCAAAAAACCGGAAGCCCACAACCGTAAACCCCAGGCAAGCCTCGAACTTCACCAGCCGCTCGTTCACTGCCTGGCCGGCAGTTCTTACGGCTTCGGGCTCAGGGTTTGCAGATCTAGGGTTTGAGGCTGAGGATTTTCCATCCCAGGCTTTCGGGCCGTGGTCTTAGGGGCTTGAATGATTTGAGTAGGAATCTGATGATTCAAGGGATGAAGATGAGGACTTCTATTTGGTCACCTCACTCGACAATTCGAACAAGATTCCGAGGCGATTTGAGAGATAGCACATGGATGTCGGGGAACCTTACAGCTATGTCCCAGCTCCTGTAGTCTGGGGGTGTTCAAGCAACTGCTGGGCTGCCTTCTCTCAAGAATATAACAAAAAACAGCTTTACATCGCTTCTGATTATCACTCAGGCCTTCTTGTGTGAGGGTTTGGTGCCTGGGCATTGGAGATTAGGAGCTTAGGGAGTTCTTTTGGCAGCTTGGAGGTTTAACTGGTACGAGTAGAAGGTCCACTTTAGGTTTAGAGTCTAGCTTTGACCCCTGCCTACTGACCACGAACCCTACCTATTCACTACGAAAAAAGGAATCTCATAGTCCAAAGACTTCTCTAAATGCCTAAACCCTAAACCCACAATCCTCAAAGCCCAGACCACCAGGTGCTGTGCATTGGGAGAGTCCAGCAGAAATCCCCAGAATACCAGCCCAACCTCGGCACGTCGCTGAAGCTTCTCCCCGCGATCCTGCACAACAAGGGCCAAAGCTGGAGAAGATGGCGGATTGTCCCTGCGGAAAACATGATTTGATACCTGGAGCATGGACCCCCAGCATGCAGGAAGTTGGGTTCACGTTTAGTTTGGAGCCCGGCTGCCCAGACCTGTCGAAGCTCCGCCACCGTGGCATTCATGAAGGCATCCAATGAATCCTGGAGGCTTCAAGGAGGATTAGGGTGTTTGGGGTCGTGGTTTGGAGTTTACGATTTTCACTTAAGTTAGATTGACTGTGCTTGTGCATTTTGGATCTAAGAGTTCAGGTTTCACGGCTTTTGCTGCAGGGTTCATTTCTGTATCTAAAAATGTACGTACACAGATTATGTACACATGGCCACCTTGTTTCGTACGTGTTTTGGCATGCCCTTTTCATCACACAATTGTCGGCGCCTAGGCCCTAAAACCTGAACCGCTTCACAAAGCCTAAGACTAAGTCTCCCATGCACACCCTGAATCCTGTTGTCTTTGCCTCAGGGCAGGCTTCGGACCCATGAATCCCAGCTTTTTCTAGGTTCACACCGCATAATTGAGGTGGCTGCAGCCGGAAGCCCTCATAGTCTCCAATTGCAATACGCCCCGCGGGCCCAATTCTGTTTCTGGCTCAGGGCTTAGGGTTCAATCGAGGTATCAACTTAATGTAGTTAACCTAGGGCCCTTGCTGGCGAACATTCTGTCATACAGGGGTACTGCTCTCTGGGACGGATTCTCTGCTGAACAATGGTAGGTCCTAGATCCCAACCCTTAGACGATCATAGAATCCGGCCGAAAGATTACACTCGAACACTTTGCTTCTCACAACCCGAGCTCATACCCTAAATTCCTGAGTTTAGGGTCGGTGGGGGGGGGGGGTCATGCAGACACTACGCACCCTTAACCCTGAACTGCAGAGTCAGCACCTGTTGTGCATCAACCCCATGTGTATCCGAAGGAGCAAAACCACCCTGGCCTCAACCTGTACACCCCAGTCCTAAAACCTTGAACCCTGGCCTAATTGTATCAGCAACTCTATACACTCGCTCCTCAGGCTCTTCCTGCGCCGCTTGCTTCTTGGCTTTGACCTCAACGTTCACATTCTGCGGCTTAGGTGGAGATAGAAATGTCTGGTTTAGTATGCGACGAGCTTTGGGGTGCGTTTGTCTCAAACGGCCTTTCTCATCGTCCGGGCTTCTACAGAAGCAGCATTCGGGGAGCGTGTGTTGGGGCTTGTGGGGTTTAAGTCCAGGTGAAGTGTCAGAACTTGGAAGCACTCATAACCCTCAGCCAGAACAACTCAGAATGCTCTGAGTAGCTGAAAGAGGGTCATTTGAGGGTTGCTCAGATAGCGGCCCCACCTTACCGTAGGGAAACCAGCGGGCCTCACCAAAGGTCAGACGTCTGGCGTTCCCTGGACGCCGCATGGTATCCTCCTGGGGAGGGAAGAGTGAGCCAGGTGGGCGCGACGTCTCCAAGACTTCGGCGTTTTCATGCCGTCACCATCTGCAAAAGTGCCAGCAGTCGCAGGGCCTGAGAAGCACCGTCTTTGTGACTGTGACTGTCTTTAGTGTTTGCATCTGACTCCGTCTACAAGATATCAAAGATGCCAACGGTCACAGGGCCACACGAGATCGCTTTAACACCTCCCACCCAGTCGCACTCACGCAAGTGGAGGGAGGGCAAGAAAAAGAATCACACCACTGGGGGGGGGCCAGCAGGCGCGTGACCGGATGTAGGGGCCACAAAGCGATTATAGAAACACTCTTTACTCTAGATACGAGCGAATTTGAAAACCTGCTACATGAGTTGAAGCAAACTAAGTAAACCCGGTCTGGTCTCTTGAGTTGTTCATTCAACTATGCTTGAACACAATGTTAGTACTCCACTCCAGCGGCTACCCCAAAGCCTTCCAATTTGCATAGCTATCCTTACCTGGAATCCAGAAGGTAAAGGTGTTTACTCCAGGTCGCCACCTTTCCCGTAGCTACCAGATTGTACTCTAACCGCGCTTTAGGATGCGCAAGACAAGCACCGCTGAAGTTGGCCCACACAAGAACTCAAAATGAGCTTCTGAAATTATCCTAAGAATTAAGTGGTATGATAAAAAGGATCATAGGCCTTCTTTGGGATTGTCTAGGGGCGTCTTTCTCCGTCCAAGGGCCTTCTCTGCCGCCAGCTGGGCTGCCACGCGCGCCTTCGCACTCTTGGCTTCTTGGCTTCTCTCAAAAAGATGGTGCTTAAGAGATTCTATGTATGTCTACGTCTAAGGTACTAAGCCCTACCCAAACCCCAGTAACCCTAGCAAAGAGATCCCGATCATATTTGGGGCACACTTTGAGAAGTGCATTTCAGGCTAGGTTTGGCAAGCACTTCAAGAGAAAAGGGATCCAGTAGCTTGAGGCATGTGCCGGTGGGGCGAATGGCTGCTTCTGGGCATTGGACTTTTGCGGGTAGAAAGTGTCTTTTAAAAGCCCTCACTCAAGACCTTCACAATCCAAACCCCACTGCCTTGAAATTCCAAAGCCCTGAACGTATTCCATGCCTGCTCGGCCTTAAGCTGGCTCACCTTCACCTGCCAAGCGAAAGGTTAGGATAGGGTTCATTACTAGACATATATTGTCGGGATATGGTAGACTGCGGAATACTGCAGAAGCCTGAACTCGAAATGGAAAAGAACAGGGAACTACCAAATATGAAAGTAATTTTCATACGATGGCAAGTGTAATGGCAAAGTGCCCTGAGGCTCCAGTAGCTAATCTAGAGGCCTGCCATCATCATGATTCTCTAGGTCACTCCATTACATTGATTATGTGGGGATGCTGGCTCTAGGAAACACATGCGGGGGTATAGACGAATTCTGATAGCTTCAGGGGTTAGGGCTGAGGGACGTAAACCTGTCTCCCGGAAATTTGGAGTCTACTGTAGGTGCCTGACTGAAGCACCTGACTCATGTTCAGCACAGGGCAACCGGCCCAGGACTACAAGAGAGCACACTTCGCGACTGTCTAGGCTTCTACTGTACCTTTCCTTTGCTTTCGGAAGCTTTCCTGACAAAGTTTGCCCCTGCAACCTAACTCCTCAATTATTCTTGAAAGGCTGTGGAGGGTTTTCAGGCCTGGCATGCAATGCCGCCCCCTTCCCTTTCCTTTTCACGCCGCCCGAATATTAAAAGTGCCCAACGACATGCAAAACTTAAAGTACATGAACATGGGATTGAGGGACAAGAACGTGAAGTCTCCCCAGAACTGAAGCATCCCTATAAACTATTCATAGACCGTGACTGCCGCTGAAAAGCAGAACCTGTACGCTGTACATCGAACTGCAACCTTTGAGGGGACAGGGGTTAGCTGCTCTGAAACATGTTAAATCCCCTCCTTGAAATAGTGAGCGGCCCTCAACCCAGAACCGCTGAACTCTTAGACCCTGAGGAGTAAATCCTGAACCTCAAACCCTAAAGAAATTGAACCCTTCACCTCCAGAGACTTCTGGTTTTCAACATCATCCAGCCTCAGCTTTCAGGGGCTTTTGAGTTGAATTTAGGACTTGGGATCTACGGCACAGGGTGTGCAGCTGCGAGTTTGGGGCTCCTGCCAAAGGAGTGGGGAGGAGATTGGTCTCCCCTCAAAGAAAGGAAAAGCCGGCTACATACAGACCAGCAAAAGCAATTCGGGGAAATCAAAGATTACACGTCTCCAACCTGAATACTACATGTGAGAGTGGGTACGGTCTGAGTGTATCTTCTATGTTACAGAAGCGTCTTAGGTTTCTCAGGGGGGCTGCCTGAACTGGAGGCTTTGGCTTCAAGGTTTCTGGCTTGCGGGTTTAAGAGAATAGGGTTTATTCGGCCATCGGTTTTGGGCCCTCACCCTGTGGACCCACTCAATGCATGGGGATCGCACAAGCGCCAATCCTGCCCTGAGAAGGACGACGCCTTTTTTGCGGGGAAAGGACCTGCCACTGGGACCGTTCTGATGTTGGGGAGAGCGAGACAGTGTGGGCCCTCTCTTCTTTGTCACCATGGACTCCAACTACTCAAACAACGGGGAAACCATGAAAGATGCTGCAGAACCACCAGAAACTAGTGATGTTCGTCATGGTAGCCCTACTGAAATCCGGGTCTTCTCGTTCTTCGCCGAGAAACCCCGTCTCTAAGCCAACCCCTTAGTTCTGAGCCCTAGGTGCTGAAAGACCCAGCCCCCCCCTCCCCGAACCCTGCAATCCTGTAAACCTAAACCCTCATGCTGAGGGCCGTTTCACAGACCAAAGCCACAGAAACCCTGAGA